TCGCGGTGGACCGCCACGGCCGCCCGCCAACCTGTCAACTGTCTGTTCTGAGCCATCAACTGCCAATTTCTACAAATCTCCACCTCGGCGAAGATTCTTCCAAACTGAGCCGACACCAACCAAACCAATTTGCCTTACTTGTTGCATCTAGTACGCCATGTCAACAGACTCATGACAACAGACCCCATCCACAACATGTCGAGACCCAAACGGGAGTGCGAACACTCATCCCAAACCAAAGGTGTCTACTCACCAAATCGACTGCATCAAAACTGACTGCCTATGTATCCTCTCCAAGGAATCAAGCATTCACGTAGTTCACCCTATGGCCTCCAAAGGGCCTCAATCCAAAAGAAGAGTCCTCAACTCTTCATCAATACCAACATCCAATGTACGACTGATAGCATCACCAACTACCCCATACTAAAATGATCCAAACACCTTCACCTGAGGTGAACCAATGGCCATATCGAAGCTATATCCACCAGCTGCACACAGATCTACCAACTCGTCATCTGCATTCTGAACAATCTGATCCCCAAACTGTGTCACCTCAGCCGGAATCCCAACTAATACAAAATGACCTGGAGTATGTGGAGTAAGCTCCACCCGATGTGGAGTAGCATCAACCTCTACCCGCTGCGATATCCTACTGATCTGATCAATACTCTCTACCTGCCGAGAGGCCAAAGTGACATACATGCTCAGACCAAACTCAGAAGCCCTCAATTGATAGCCAAAAGAGCATCTGAATCCCAAATGCGCAATCGGATCCAATCTCACATCTACGATGTGGCCACGTGCTGGATAGCCCAATCTCCGACGCCAACCAAAATCTGAAGTAGCTCCACCAGATCTAACAATATCTAACGTAGCAGTCGGCAACCTCATAAGATGGCCCAAACCTGTCGGAGCCTGAATACTAGATCCACTGCTCGACAACCAACGCCGATTCTCCTCTAGAAAAGAACGGCACACTAAATCCGTCATCTCATCTCGTCGCCCTATTGTCTCCTCTCCTCTGAAGTGTCTCCAACTGCCATGAGCTTTGTTTGCGTCAAAAATTATTGTATTCATTGCGGTATTCATTACAACTTTAGCCGTTACAATGAAAACAAAAAGATTGTCTTTTTATAAGACTTTTACACAATAAAAATAAAAAGTTACAACTCTCGTCAAAACAAACGCAGAGATCGTTTATCGGTCTTCTGCTTGCGTGGGATCTTTGCATGTGCCGGGGTTTATCCGTTGACCGCCTTTGATCTGGACCCGGTTGATGAAAAATTCGGCAGAGCTTCGTCTTCACCGAAAAAGTATTTGATTTGAAGCGCTAAGATCGACCAAGCGAAATCAGGGCTCTTCTCGAGATTAAGACCAAGCCTAATCTCAAGGGACGGACGGACGAGGTTCAGATCCTTCGAATAGCTCATTCTTCATGCCGAAGTTCGTCAGGATCTGATTTGCCTTCGCTGAAATTCGTGCTCCTTGACTCCTCAATCCAGCAGCACCTTCGCTGAAATTCGTGCTCCTTGACTCCTCAATCCAGCAGCACCTCCACGTCTTGATAATAATTCGTCCCGCTGAAAGGAGGCCCTAGGCTTGTATTTATAGGGCTTCGGAAGCGGTTATTTGGATGAGAACAAGTGATTAGGCTCCATCCTCAGTTAACAACTGATTAACAATGTTTAGAGATATGATTTAGATAGTTAGAAACCCCTAGAACAGATAAATCCTAAGAAAACTGCTCAAATCCGTCGAAAAACGGGTTTTCGGGTCAAAACAGCGCGTCGGGTCGCGTTGACCCGCGGGGGCGCGGGTCGGCCTTGGCCGACCCGCCAGGCCGCGGGTCGGCCTTGGCCGACCCGCGCTGGTGCGGGTCCGCGCTGGTGCGGGTCGGTTTCGGCCGACCCACGCTGGTGCGGGTCAGTTTCGGCCGTCCCGCATCGGCGCGGGTTCCAAAGTCTGACACTTTTTTTGGTCTTCCAACTTTTCTGGGACTTTTATTTTCCATCTATTTGCGTGATTGATTGTCTTGTTGACTTGTACGTTTCGTTGCAGAACTGACCGTCGAACGCGTGTTGATTGACGCACGCGTGTTGATTGACGCATGCGCACGAATTGGTTGACGCACGCGTGTTGACCGACGTGTGCAAGTTGATTAACGTGCGCGTGTTGATTGACACACGCGAGCTGATTGGCGGGTGCGAGCTGACTGTCGAGCGCGTAGGTCACTTGATTCGCCGTTTCGCTTCAGGCGCTTGTCGGCGTCAGATAATCCTCTTAGACTCAGATAACAATGTTTGTCGTCTTCTCTCCATCTCGAGCTGTGTTCAGGGACCTATAGGCAATTTTTGAGGCCTACAAGCTTGACACCAATGTAAGAAAGAACCCCTACTAGAACTAGTACGACGGGTAACCTCTCTGTCCATACACCTCCTCCAACTGTTGCGGACTACTAGGGCTTCATACCAAAGGGACTTGGTTGTAACCCATATATGCCTAGTATAATCCCCAACATAGGAAATAAAATACCGATTATCTCCCAATGATGCCTCCATGGAAGGCCCCCTAATGCCTGACTGAACACATCTAATAAGACCCCTTGATCGGTGGATAGAAGTGCCAAACTCCACCTCGGTCTTCTTGCTCATCCCACTGTGCTCAAATGACTTCAATCTACAGGTCATAGCACTCCTCATCAATTTATGCACGGTATAACCAATAATATACCCCCGCACCAAATAATGCCACAGTCTAGACAAAGAAGTCGTCAGCGCTCTATCAATCACCGTGCTCCCAAGCAGATAATACAAGTTACTCCTCCTGACGCCCTTCATCACAATCATGGACCCCAATGTGACCTTCAAGTGAGAATCCATCAAGGTCACCCTATAGCCTGCTGCCTCCAATACCCCAAGTGAAATGATGTTCTTCCTCAGTTGAGGAACGAACCTCACATCAACCAACTCTCGAATCATCCCGTCACTCATAGGAATCCGAACGGTACCAATACCACCAATAGGGCACCTATGATCATTACCCATAAGTACAACATCCCTCTTTCCAACTCCTGAAAGCTGGAGAACCAATCCCTCCTAGGACATATGTGGTAAGTAGCACCCGAATCCAACATCCACTCGGTGGAGTCGGCCACACCAACTGACAAAAGAGCTGGGCATGAATAGCCCGAAGAATCTGAATCTGAAACGTCGCCACTAGCCTTGGCAACATTCAACTCTGAAGCTTGAATAGCTTTCCCCTTATTCTTCCCGATTTGTAATTTTGGGCATTCGGCTTTCCAATGTTCATCATCTCTACAAAAGGCACACTGATTCCTACCAACTACAGGATACCATCCTCTAGACTACGACCTCCTATCACGGTTTGGACTTCTAGCTCTTGCAACCAATACCCCCGTAACCGGCTCAATGGAAGTCTCATTGTCCTTTTTTCGAAGTTGATAATTCACAAGAGTCGCGGTGACCTCACTATACGAAAGAGATGCCTTCCCATTACTAAGAGTGAGGACGAATGTTTCATATTCCTTGTCGGGTAAGGAACTCAATAACAACAATGTCTTGTCCTCATCTTCAACTATAACATCTATATTTGCCAAATCTGCAAGTAGCTTCGTGTAGTGGTTCATGTGATCACTAATGGATGTCCCCTTCTTTAATTGGAAGCGATAAAGTCTCCTCTTCAAATGCAAACGATTTTCGACGCTTTTCGTCACCAAATCTTCTTTGCCGAAGTCTCATTCATCACATCATATTTTAGATCTTGGGTAAGACAAGACCTAATCACACCACACACCGTTCTATTCATTTTCTTCCAAACCTTCTCATCAATGTCGTCCGGTTTTCCGTCCAACTCCAACATATCTTCCAAATTTTGCGCATTTAACGCATCCAAGACTTCGCATCTCCAAAGTCCAAAATTATTTGTGACATTGAACTTCTCCACATCTATCTTCATAGAATGAATATTCAAACTTTGGACGGTCTTCAAACTAGAAGAACCCTCCCCACTTTTATCTTTCCCGGCCATATATCTCAAAGCACCCAATAACAATTGCGGAACAAACAAGGAATAGATTCAAAATTGACCAAAGATAGAATTTTTACCATAAAGATTCCACATTTATCACCAACTGAAGCTCTAGATGAACTTCCCAACTGATCTACACTTCCAAAAAACCCAAACGTTGCCCGGAGCTCTGATACCACTTGTTGGGGAGAATCCCCTATGACGAGATCCAACCAAATAGCCGAGAGAGATGAACAAACACACCAAACAATAGCACAAACACAATAACACCAGTTTTAACGTGGTTCGGCGAGATGCCTACGTCCACGGGGTAAGGAGGGGGGGGTTCACTATTAGAAATCAAGAGGAACAAACTAGCATTACAAATCTCTCATAAACCCTCAACAAATCAACTCTCAATCTCTCCAATTGCTCCTAGAATAGAAGCCCACAGAAAACCCCTTTCAACAGCTCAAATCTCCTGCTCTCAAACCCTAGAGACGCCCTCTAGGTATTTATACCAATCCCAAACGAAATGGGTCTAGAAACAGATTCAGACCCGAAACCGCTGCGGCAGTCAACCGTGGGGGTCGACCGCGATCCATCGCGGTCGACCGCCACGGTCGACCGCCCTCAATCCTAGAAAAGCCCCAATCTCCAGCAACTTTTGCGGTCGATCGCGGCGGTC